AACAGATCGGATAACCTAGAAGAAACGGATCACGAAGAAATAGAAAATCTGAAACATACCAATAATAAAGAGACTGAAGTAATAAAAAGTCTCAAACCAAAGAAAAGCACAGGACCAGATGGCTTTAGTGTTGAATTCTACCAAAGACTTAAAGAAGAACTAAGAGGAATTTTTCTCAAACACTTCCAAAAAAAATGAAAGTAGAAGGAATACTTCCAAACTCATTTTACGAGGCTAGCGTTACCCCGATACAAGCCAGACAAGGACATTATAAGAAAAGAAAAACATTGGCCAATATCCCTGATGAACACAGATACAAAAACACTCCACAAAATATCAGCAAACTGAATCCAGGAACACATTAAAAGAATCATTCACCATAATTAAGTGGGATTTATCTGTGGGATGCTGGGATGGTTCAGCATGATTAAATCAATAAACGTAATACACTACATAAACAAAATGAAAATAAAATCACATGATCATCTCAATAGATGCAGAAAAAGCATCTGACAAAATTCAACACTATCTTATGATAATCTCAATAGATTAGGTACAGAATGCACCTTAACAGGATAAAGGACATTTATTACAAACCTGTGCAGTTCCAAGAAGAGACTATCCCTCACATAACAAGAATTCTAAAACATTTCTACCAGGCCATGAGATGCTCAAAAGTAGAGAACCATTTAGTTTTCCCAATCAGTGCAAAAGTACACTAATCAAATATGTCTACTGAATGGGGCACAGGCACATGTGCTAAGGAAAAATTAAACACTTACCACTTGAGGCCTCTGTGAGCTCTGTGAGGGGAGCAGACTCTTCAACTAAAGCTCCAGACTGTGTTGAAACAAGTTCAGATGATTTCTTGGGGAAAACATTTAAAGAGTAGAGAAGTATTACGTTTTATTACTTATAGTATTACTGATACCTTTTTGAAGATCTGAGTAAGTATTATGGGTTACCTGGAAAACTGGTGTTCAGCCACCTTCATTATCTAGTGAACTCAAAGTATCCAGGGATCTAACAATGGAGTATTCATTCTAATTGCATCCTAAACATCCCACAAAACAATTTTCAATCCCCTAGGAAACGTTTAAAGGACACATTTTTGTTGCCTTATTAAAGCCTAGAAAGCTGTGTCATTTGCTAGCCTTTAAAGAAAAAAATTCTCAAAATAAATGTGCTCTATAGTTATTACTCAGACACCAAATGATATTATCAATAGCTAGGCTAAGAAGAACATTAAAAGCTAGGATAGAAAACACATTCATACAGTTCAGAAATAATTTCCAAATTGTGGTGTATGGCCACATAATTAATCAATGTTTTCATAAGAAAAAATTACCACTGCCTCTGTCATATGGTGATTTCACATCAACCTGAATAATGCAGAGATAATAAGGGACTAAGAGATACAAATGAAACCCGCTGGACCCTGAAGAATCTTTAATGACTATCAAACTTCTATTCAGCCAGTCCAAATAAGATGAGCAGGATGAGTGTTGAATCTAAGTGACAGAGAAGGTGCAGAAACACTTCCAACTGCAATGGCATTAGGTGTCTTCTCTCTCAAAGGAAATGAGAACCTACTGTGTCAAACTGGCACTAAGAGTATGAAGCAAAAGTCAGTCATTCGAGACTAGCTCCCCGCTTATATCTGTGGGAAGGTCAAGAGATTTTCAATAGTATTATTTTTCTCCTAACTTAGTAAGTCATGTTGGTTATCATCTTTTGATAATCTTTACAGGCTTTAGGTAGTTATAAGCCACAAAAATCCCTAAAACTACTTGAAAGAAGTGCGCAGAGCAAAGGAGAAATCTCTAAATAGCACCCTACTTCTCAGCAGTCAGCAGCACCAAGATGATGTGTAAGAATATCTCCCATACAGAATCTTCATCCTATTCACCAGTTATGTTTAAATCAGCTGTTTACATGTCTGCCTTCCCCAGTACACAAAAAGCTGCCCAAGGGCAGGACTATTACCTACTCCCTGTTGGAGCATCACCTTCTAGAACAATCCCTCACTTGCAGAAGACAACAAGGCTTACCCTTGCAACAAAGTCCTTTTCCTAAGGTTAGGAATCAAAAGCAACATATCCATCCAAACTGTTTCTGATAAGAAT